GCAAGGGTCCAGGGGACTGTGAGGGAGGCACAGCAGCACTTCAATACTGGGTACCTTGAGGGAACCCCTAGAACAACTCTGATGAACCAAAATTACCTCAATTTTAAAAGCAATTAAAACATACACTATGAGGGGCCAGAGAGAGTACAATGGGTAAGTTGCTAGCCTTGCACATGGTCAACCCAGGTCCAGTACCTGGCACCTCGTATAGTCCCCCAAGTCGTGCCAGGAGTGATTCCTGGGTGCAGTCAGGAGTAGACCCTGAGCACCACGGGGTATGACCCAAAAACAAAGCAAACAAACAAAACACATATACTATAAACCCATGGAAATCAGTAGCATTTTCTTCTTTTCAGCAGTAATCAAAAATAGTACCTATTCACATGGTTATTTCTTTTTCTTTTTCGTGTTCTTGGTTTTTCTTTTGGGGTCATTCCCAGCTGTGCTTTGGGCTAATTTTAGTCCCATGCTTGGTAACAGGGATAAAGGTGGTCACCCCTGGTAGTTCTCAAGGGGACCCTGTGGTACCAGGGATCAAACCCAGGCCTCCCACATTCAAAGCATGAGCTCTGCCATTTGAGCTTTCTCTTTCTATGACACTCTTCAAAAAAAAGTTATTTTTGCAGTTGAAAATGGAAGACCAAGCTCTTTGGTAAGATGATCGAAATAATAGAAAGCTGCCGATTCTTCTAAAAATAAATCAATAAACTCAGTGATATCTCTGTCAAAGTTCTAGTAGTACTACTTTTAGAAATTCCAGCTTCAAAATATATAGAAAGAACACAATCCACAAAGAGCTAAACCAAATTTGAAAACGAGCAAAGGAAGGAGAATTGACCTTGCCAGACATATAATATCATGAGACATCTGGAAAAAGCAAATTAGGACCACAATGTGGTATTACCACACATCTATCAGAACAGCTAAAATGGAAAAAAATATAATGCTGGGGCCTGAGAGATAGTGCAGGTGGGGTCAAGGTACTTGCCCTGTGTGACACTGGTTTAATCCCCAGCACCACATATGGTTAATAAGGTGTTTGCCCTTGAACACCACCAGATCTGGTTCAAAAAACACACTCAAAAAAAAATTTTAAGTGATAATATTAAATGCCAGCAAGAACACTGAGACAATCTCTCTTACATGTTGCCAGAGAGAAAATAAAATGGTACTGCCACACCAAAACAAATTTTGCCACTTTTGGGATCTGAGCAAAAGTACAGCACGCAGGACACTTGCCTTGGACACGGCCAACCTGAGTTGTTTCACCGAGCACCAAGTATGAGCACTGCCAGGTGTGAACCCTGAGTGCAGAGCCCAGGAGCAACACCAAGGCACTGGTGGTGTTGGTCCCAAAACAAAAACAAAGTCTTGTCACACTCTTCAATAATATACCATTACCCAACAGTCACATTCTTAGTCCTCTATACCAGAAAAGATGAAAATGAATAGCCATCAAAAAAAAATTTCACAAAAAGGGTAGCTTTTTCTGGCAACATCCAAAAGTGGATATGGACTCCACAGTTCCAGTGAATGGTTCAAGAGTGATAATACATAGATAACCAAAGACCAGATCTCAAATGATGCAACAATTTGGAGGAATCTCAATCCTTAGAAGTCACATGCTGGGGCTGGACAGATAGCACAGAGAGTAAGGCAGACATTACAGTGGCTAAATCCCTTGCCTAACATGCAGCTAACTCAGGTTCAATTCCTGGTACCATCAATGGGCCCACAGTCCAAGCTAGGAGTAATTCCTGAGCTCAGAGTCAGGGATAAGCTTTGAACAGGGCCAGGTGTGGCCCCAAACAAACAAACAATAAATAAATAAAAGTCACAAGCTGTATAATTCCACCTAGATAGCATCTTACATGCCACACCCAGACATGCTTAGGGCTAAGGCCTGGCTCTGTGCTCAGGGATCACTCCTGGTAGTGCACAGGGGATGATGTGGGGTCCTGGGAATGGAACCAGGGTCACCAAGTGCCTTAACTCCTTAACTAGAGCCCTAACTCCAGCAATCTTGTCATGATAAAATTATAAAGAATGAATATTGCTTTACAGTTAGCAGAGAGCAGAGTAAGTAGGGGAAGAGAGATGGATGAGCCTAGAAGACCTCTGTGAGCATGGAACTTGCCAGATTTGATTGCACTGATGATTAAAGGCATCCACATAGCTCTCACATGGCTGAGAATTCTAGCTGTATAAGATAGAACTATTGAGGATAAATGGGTAAAGTCATGTAAAACAGAACCGGGCTGGAGAAACCAGATCTTTTTTTCTGCTCTGCTTATGACTTCCTATAAATGTATGTAAGCTAAAACAAAACAAATACTGCTAGGATTATTAATGTAAGGAAAGTACTACCAAAGTATGGTACTAAAATGCCAAGAGGGTATAACAAGAGCAAACACATAAACCAAAGGAACAAGACATAGTGTTCAGAACGCCTACGAGAACTGAGTGGGCAGGAAGCATTTCACCTCCATGTGAGGGGCAAGGAGAGACTGGCAGTAGGAAAGCCGGCAGGCTCTGTGGAAGATACACCCAAACTCTACCTTGTGGGATATAAAAAACAGATTCTGAATGCTCAAAGGCATACAAGCGTAGAGGACAACGATGAATCAAGCAGTAAATAAAATAAGGGAATAACTTTGTGGCACAGAAGTGGAGAAATGACTTTTTAAACTAAACCTCAGGAGTACAAACCCTAAAAGGGAGCTCAGATAGAGAAGAGAGCACCAAATAAAGGGTGCTCCCAGGATGGGAGATGCATGTTGAAAGTAGACTATAGACCGAACATGATTGCCACTCAATGCCTCTTTTGCAAACCACAGCACCCAAAAGGAGAGAGAGAACAAAAGGGAATGCCCTGCCACAGAGGCAGGGTAGGCTGAGAGGGATGGGGGGTGGGAGGGATAGTGGGATCAGTGGTGGTGGAGAATGGGCACTGGTGGAGGGATGGGCACTGGATCATTGTATAACTGAAACCCAAGCACAAAAATTTCTAAGTCTACAACTGTACCTCATGGTGTTTCAGTAATAAAAATTTTTTAAAAAAGTACAAGCCCTAAGGATAAAGAAAACCTATTTAATCTGACCACAATTAAAGATTTCTGTTTCTAAAGGGTCTCCATGAAAATAAGGCTACAGGCCAGGGCTAATGGAGAGTACAGAAGGTAGGCTGCTTGCCCTGCATACAGCCAACCCCATTTTAGTCCTAGCACTGCACATGGTCCTCCAAGCATCACCAGCAGTGACCACTAAGCACAGAGTCAGGAGTATGTCCTCAGTGCCACTGGATGTGACCCAAAATGAAAAAAAAAAGTGGGCATGTGTCTATGCCTTAGAGGTACAGTGCCATCATACCAAGTCACCTCCACAATGCCACTCACCAACCGCCAATGTCTAGAGCCCAGCTTCTGAAACTATGGGATGTGGGGGGGAGGGTCTCAAAAGATTTACAAATTCATTTCAAGATAAATTTCTCTATGATTTATTATTGGGAACTGTTTGATTTTTTAATCTATTTTCTATATTCAGATCCCTGAGTTTCCATAAAAATTTCTCCAAGGAAAAACAAATGGCAGAAGTTTAAGAAGGTCAGACTTAAAGGATGATAGGACCCTTCCTTTCCCTCTCTCTACCCTTATTGACCTCTGTTCTGTTGTCAGTGTCTAAAGATTTTGTTTTGGTTTCAGGGGAGGGGTGTCTCCCCCTCCTCCCAGTCTTTGTTTTGGATTCTTAACCAACTGTTCTCAGGTCTGACTCCTGGCTCTGTGCTCAGAGATCACTCCTGGCAGGCTCTGGGAAATCAAACACAGTGCCAGGGATACAAGGCAGGTCAGGGTGGTCATGAGCAAGGAGGGCACCTCGCCCACTGTCCTGGCTCTCCAGCCCCCTGGGATCTGGTTGTGTTGTGTGTGGTGCTGAGGATGGAACGAGTCTCCCACAGGGAGGCCTGGGCGCTGCCGAGCTCATCCGCCCAGCAGGTTTTGCAAGCAGGGGGCCAGGTTTGATCTCCAGCGCCAGACACAGGGAGAGACCCCTAGCAGGGAGCCTGAGCACCCCTGGGTGTGACCCCCCCAAGTCAAAATAAACAAAAAGCCCCCCCCCCGTGTTGATAAAGCAAGAAAAGACTTCTAACAAAAATTTCAAAACCTCAACCCATTTCTCTACACAACAGGCCATTATTCCCCCTCTTGTCCATACAGTCCTGGGCAACAAACATGTGGCAAAGTCCCCTAGCGCAGGCTCCAATGAGAGGAAGCTGCCCCCTCGCTGACTGTAAACCCTGCACGGCCCTGAGCAGCCTGCCACAATTGCCAAGGAACTGCAAGAACCATCCGGTGCTGCCCGGCGCCTTGGGAAGCTGACACCGCGCGTCGCTGGAAACGCGCGAGGCCAGTTTCCGAATCCGAATCCGCCGCGGGGACCCCTGAGTCGGTGAGCAGGAGTCGGGCCAAGGGGTGCAAAAGGGCCCCGTGACGTCGCCGCGGGGAAACTGGCGCCTGGAGCACCTTCGGCAAGGGCAAATAAAAGAGGAGTGCCACCGGAAAGGGGGAGCCCATGTGCAACCCCCAAAATAAAAAAAAAAAAACACGCCCAGGACACTTAGAGCGATGCCAATCGCCACCCACACCCCACACCCCCATCGCCCTGTTTAGGGTATCACGGAGGGCAAGGCGGGTCCGTGTCAGGACCAAAGTCAGCGTCACCAGAAGCAGATGCCGCCCACCCGATGAGGGAGCCCCCCTCCTCCCCCAGACATCCCCCCTGCAGGCCCCGAGCTCCTGCTGCAGGCCCTGAGCTCGCAGGTGCCGCCGCACAGAACCGAGCATCCAGCCCCGGCGCCCTGACATCCGCTGCCGCCCGCGGCAGGAGCGTGCTGCGACCTTTGACCTCCCGCCCCTGACCCCGGCGGGCCGGGTACGGCCCTCGCTGAGTTCCCCCCCCACACCCAGGGAGCGGGGAGGTGGACAGTGACCAAGTCCCCTTACCTGTCACAGCTTCATCTCCTGCGGCGATCCAGTGTGTCAGCACAGCCCGCCGGCGCCCGGGCGAAGGAGGACCAGGTGAAGTCAGAAGTCAGGGGGCTGCGGGGGGGTGGGCGATCCCAGATCGGGGACCCTGCGGGACAGTCAGCCTAGCCCAGCCTCCGGCTGCCCACCCAGGCTGCCAGGTGCCGCCGCCGCCGCCGCCGCCGCCGCCGCCGCTGCAGTAAATCAGCTGACACCAGCCTCAACTGCCGTGACTTTCGCTGCAACTGTCGCAAAATGAAGGGGGAGGAGGGGAAAGCTAGAGGCCCGGCCTAGGCGGGCCGTGTCGCTATGGAGACCGAGAGGCGGCGCCGCGCGACTGTGGGCAAAGACGCGTGCGGCGCCACCTTGGTTGTGGGCAGCGGTGCCTCGGTTCCTAGTCTCGCCGGGAATCCCATTGCCCGGAGGAAGCCGACCGAGGGAAAGATGATGAAACTGGCCAGCCTGGGTGTGCCCTAGGATCAGAGAGGCTGCAAGCTGGCTTCTCTCCCTCCACGGCTGGGTCCAGTTGTCTGGAAAACGTTCGCTCTGGGTTCTGGGGTTGCCTTCTGACCCCTGAATCCAGAGGGCCAGACCGGAGGAACTCTGTCGCTGGGTTCTGGGAAGTCTGAGCTGGTGACTGACACTTTGCTGCAGGAAAGCAAGAATGACAGCCACAGCGGCGGGTGGGGGGCAGGGCAGCGGAGCGTGGTCTGCAATCTGGTCCCAGGATCTCCTCTTGCCCGGAGCCACCTGGACTATCTCCTCCTCGGCTTAACAAACTAGACCTCTTGGATGTTTAGGGAGTGACAGGAGTTCGGAGATGCAGCTGCTGACTCTGCTTGCCTGCCTTCCTCCCAAGTGGAATTGGGCTGAATGAAGATGGACCGGTAGCCAGAGGGAACTGGTGTCACTAATGGCCAATGGTCCGTTCCGTTTAAAAAAAAAAAAAGAGGGAAATTTTCATTCCATGAATTTGTCTTCCCTTTATACTCTTCCGAATGGAATTACAGGACAAGGAAGAGTCCTACTGCAGTTCTCATATAGATACTGTTTCAAATCACCTGGGGAGCTTGACATAAAACGAGAGGAAGTTTTTAACCTTGTTAAAAACTTGAGGGGCCTGAGCGATATTATAGCGGGTAGGACGTTTTGCCTTACACAGAGCCGACTGGGTTCGATCCCTGGCATCCCTTATGATCCTCCAAGCGCTGCCAGGAGTAATTTCTGAGCATTGCTGGGTGTGACCCAAAAAGAAAAAAAATCTTGATTAATAGTTTCAGAGTGGGGTCTGAACTTTCCAGTTGGTGGGGAAGGAGAGATTGTTAGTTTTTGCCTGGAAGACAATGATAGAACCCAAGACCCTCCCCAGTGCAAGGCTTGCACTCTATTAGAGGAACCTGTCCACTGTTCACTGTCCTCCCATTGTTCATCGATTTGCTCGAGTGGACACAGTAACATCTCCATTTCGTTGTTACCGTGTTTGGCATATTGAATATACTCTCGGTAGCTTGCCGGGCTCTCCGAGAGGGGTGGAGGAATCAAACCCGGCTCTGCCAGGCTGGCTGCGCACAAGGCAAACACCCTACCGCTGTGCTAGCACTCCAGCCCCATTAGCTGAACCTAATTTTAAAATTTAGCTTTTAAAATTCTCCAAGTCCTTGGTGGGAGATGGAGTAGGTTGCGCCACACCCAACCATGCTCAGAGGATACTTCTGGCTCTGTGCTCTGGAGTAACCGCGGGAGGTACTGGCGGGACCATATGGGGTAATGGGGACCCAACTAGGGTCAACAGCATGCAAGGAAAATCGCCTCACCTCTCTCTACTATTTCTCAGTACTAAATCCAGCCTGTTGCCACTTAATGCCCATTGTTCTTGATTCTTGGTCCAGGTTTTGAGTAACACAATTCAATTGGATGGACTGAAAGCAAGAGATGATGGGGGAAGAAGAAAGCAGAAAAACTCCTTAGACTGGACCACTGCTTGTTGATTTGCAAAAAAAAAACTGCTAAATGTTGATTTGCGGAAAACGCTGCCTCAACAATTTAGTGTTCCTGAGAATGACAAACTCCTCCACCCCCTCGGCTCACCCTTTTAGCTGCCTTTCCCCCACAGTACAGTCCACACCTGTCCTTTTCCGGGATGGAAACTCAGCCACCCTTTTCATGCACTAGGCCGTTTGGCATCCTTTAGGCCGCCAAGTATAAGTATTGCTGCTTTTATGCTGTGCCTGTTTATTTGGCGAGATCAGCTTACTGCCAACAGGAGAAGAAAGAAATCATAATATTGACCAGGGAAGTCAATAGAACACTTGAAAATCAATCATTTTGAAATTGTCTGGTACAGTGACTTGGAATTCTCTGATTTTCTTCCCTCTTTGACTGACTGCCTGGAAATCACATGAGGGAGGGGAGGCTGAACAATATGAAGAAATTAATTCTTCCACCAGCTGGTTTCAATATACTCGCTCCATCTGATGTGATCATGGATACACTCAAACTGTTATGTTTATAATCCTCTTTACAACTTACAGGGGTTTTGTTTGTTGGGGTGGGGGTTGTGTGGGGGTAGTTGAGGAACACTCAGTAGTGCTCAAGTTTACTCCTGGCTCTGTGCTCAGGGATCACTCCAGGCATTGCTGGGGACCATATGGGGTGCCTAGGTTTGGACCCAGCTTAGCCACATGCAAGGCAAACACCCTACCCATTATACTATCACTCTGACTCCCAGATTTTTTTAAGATAGTGAGCAGAGAATGGCTATGCAGGATCACCTTAGGCTACTTTAAAGCTCGTGTGGTTTGTAAAGGAAATCTGTAAGCTATCTTTCCTTGATAAACTGAGCTAGTAAACAAATATTAATTGAATACTTACCAGTTTCAAATACTTCCTAGAAACACAAAGGTTAATAGAAAGATCAATGATGAGCATTCAGAATTAATTCTTTGGACTTTCTTTACTGAAAATTAAGAGTTGTACCTTTAGTAAACTCATCCTGAGTAAATTTATTTGACTAAATGATTTATATCTTTCATCTGGAGGAATCATTAAAAATTTTTGTGTGTTTTTGAGTCCCACCTGCAGTGCTCAAGGGCTACTCCAAGCTGTGACCACAAGGTCCCCAGTAAAGGACCATATGGTACCATGTAGAGACAGGGATCAAAGTCATGCCCCTTGCAAGCATCCTTATGTGTTCCAGTCTGTTGTGCTATCTCTCTGACCCTGATAGGAAAATATTAGTAGCTAATAAGAAATTCAGTTCAACTTGTATTTACTGAAACTTTAAGTCAAGCTGAGAAAGTGAGAATCCAGGCTTAGCTTCAAGACTTACAAAATTGGAAAATGTTTTAAGTGATAAACCATTATAAAATATACCGGATTCTGGGAATCTAATAAGAATGACTGCGGTTGGAGAGATAGTACTGAGGTAAAGGTGCTGGTTTGCATGCAACTGAGTCCAGTTTGAATCCCAGAACTACATATGGTGCCCTGAGCACCACGAGGAGTGATCTTAGGAGCAGAGACAGGAATCTCCCCACAACACCACCCTGGTGTAGCATGGCTCCCCATACAAATAGAAATGACAAAGGGCCACAAAGATATATGACTACAAACCCTCCACCTTCCCCCAAAAAATGGAATCAGAGAAATTATACAGAGATTAAGTCATGTGTATTGGATACAACCAAACCCCAATGTGATTCCAGAACCTTATGTGGTCTCCTGCATACCACCAGGACTGACCCCTGAGTACAGACTCGGGAGTATCCTTGAGCACTGCCAGTATCAACCCACCCACCCACCTCCCAAATAATCCAAGATATATGGTCCTAATGTAGAATTGCCTGAGGATACACAACATGAGAATAATGGGAAAATGGTTACTTGTGGAGTGCCTCTTGTCTGCAGCTGGAAGTGTTCCACAGCTCCTTGCTATCTGACCTCACCTGAGGACCTCTTGCAACATGGCAGGTGATGTGTTGAAGGCCAACATAGAGTATCTTTCTACTAATCACAAGAAAGATGGGAGTCTTAGCTTTAAATGTAGATATGTAGATAAAAAGTATCTATATATCTATATAAGGTAGTAACCTAACCAATGAACAGGAAGTGGGTTATGAATGAACCAATTAGGGAGTGACCTAATCAGTGGATAACATTTGTCACATCCCATTAGAATCAAGTCATAAATGTCACTATAGGAGAGATTATACAGACAGTGACTCTTCGGGCCGTCACTTTAGGTGTGTCACTCTAATGGGATTCCATTGTTAAGTTCTATAGGAAAGACAGGGAGGCAAGGAGGCAACTTATGAGCATCTGTCAGAGTGTTGTACCCAACAATGTATAGCTTTTCTGAGATGAGAAAACTGGAACTGGGTAATTAAAACATTGTATGACTGAAACCCAATCATGGAAAACTTTGTAACTATTTACCTCATTGTGATTTAGTTAAAAATATTTTTTTAGAAAAAGAAAAAGGAAACTGAAACCCCTGATATAGTCAGGAATTTCAACACACTCCAAGTCTCACTCTGTCTTTAGACTTTCAGTAGCAACTGTTCTACAACACACAATATTCCCTAAGCTTTCTAAATATCCAGTTAGCACTCCAAAAGCCAAAGAAGTCAGCCACACTATCTAGAAGAGCTCAGATTGTTGTTGCTTGCCCCCCCATATTTATACTGTGGGTTGGGGCCCAATACTTCTTAATTCTCTCTTCTTGTACAGAATATTTCCCTAAAGTTCCTATCACTATTGGACTTCACATTAGCCTTTGGAGTTACATACCTTACCATTTTCCAGCCACTAGCTTGAGAAGTGTCTTTGGCATGGTTCTGTCTCATTAAAACATTTTAAGAGCTTCCCTTTGCCCTTTCTCACATGACATGAGGGTCAACTAATAAGACTTCTCCTTTTTTCCTTACGTCTCCTGACTTTCCATGAAGCAAACTATTCCTTTCCAAGTAACAGGATGGCTTTCCTAGAAATATGTTTCCTCCTACTCTATACTCCCACCTGCTAGCTAGGAATAATGAAATTAAGCTGGGCGGGCTCAAGCTCCTCACAAATTAAAGTTTGGAGCCTCCTTCTCAAATTAGTAATAGTGTTAAAGAGAAAATAAGGAAGGAGAAGCCAGATCATCACATGAGAAAATGCTCCACATCATTAATCATCAG